GCTGTCTTAAAGCTCACTGATAACCATGCAACTTTGTTTTTAAACAAAATTAATTACTCAGACTGTAAGATTAAATTAAATAAATAATGCACAAAAATACTATTCGGGAGCATCAGTCTTTATCCGTTACTTTAATAACAGAGTCTAATTACTCAGACTGTAAGATTAAATAAATAATGCAGAAAAATACTATTCGGGAGCACCAGTCTTTATCCGTTACTTTAATAACAGAGTATCAGTGAAAAATCTGCTATATTTGACTTTTTCCTGCTACTTCTAGACCAGTAAGCTTCCAGCTCATCTTTTCTAGTCTTAGGTTTGGAAGGAAATGTTCCCAAACTATTATAAAATCTACTTTGAAACTGAATGTTAAATATCTGAATTTCTAAATTTGACCTCATTTAAATTAGATAAATAATAACCTCAGCTTATAATTATCCCATTATTAAACATTATTTCTATCACATTTTTTGTAGTAGTTTAAATATAAAGAATTTAACAAATAAACCATATTAAGGATTTTCTTGACTATACTTAGATTTTCCTTAGCTCTTCCTGAAACTGAGATCAGAGATTTAATAATCTTGCCATATGTTCCCCTTAATAAAATGCATTTTAAATTAAAATTAAGCAATGCTAAAACCTAACAAGATGTGTATTATGAATACTTCTCTGTATGTGGACTCACTAACCTTAGTAAAATGAACAGAACCCAAAATTTAACCATCATCACCATTTACTTGCGAAGTTCTCTAGTGAAGTTTTGATAACTTAGTCTTGTCACTTCAAAATTTTCTTTTTAGGTCCTATGAAATTCTCATTTCACAAGTAAAATTTCTTTTAAAAAATTATTTTTTATAGGATTTCCATTTTACAGCCAGCAAGATCTTCTGACACATTTTGTGAAAATAATTAACATAATCCATTTCTCTAATAAAACAATGAAGTGAAGCTACCCTAGAAAGACATACACCCTAATGTTTATATTTGGTAATTACCTGTCTTGACAATTAAGCTGCTACCTCTAGAAGCAAAAATCAGTTTTTTATTTCTTCTGCAGAGCTATATTTGCTACTTTGCAATCTCCATATGTTTGCACATCAGTATTCTTGAAGGCAAACCAAGCCAACTAACATTTGTAGTTACCCAGTCCCTTTGCAAAACATATTATGCACTTAGGATTAATTCAGTGTAAATCATCATCCTAGCCACACAATTAAATACTATAAGCTTCCTTAACCCTCAGCTCAGACTTTCCTAATCTCTAAAAGAAAGCAATGCCAGATGGCCAAGAACAACTGCTAAGAATCAGAGGGCCACAGAGCAATACCTGAAGCTCTTAGTGATACGGTGGAGAAACACCTTCTGTTTCAACTTACTGCTGGGCCCCACTTAGATCAGTTCGATTTGCAGAACTCATATGTGATCCTTCCATGTTAACTAATACACACGCTACTAATTTTCAAAACCCGTATTTTGTTGTCACGAATCTGATTCAAAAACACTGAATTCTTGCTGGGTAGAAACAATGCACCACCTCTGTCTCGTAGTGATCACATTGACAGTATGTCTGCTTCGTAACGACAGAGAATCCACTTATCACTGCACTTCTCCATCACCTTCAAACGTGTACATATATATATTAAAATATATAAAATGTATCATATATATATAAAAATAATGTGTATAATATATAACATACATATATAATTGGCCTTCAAATATATACGAGCTGGCTGCCAGGCTGAAGGAGTCTCTGCCACGTGAGGGACAGAATAGGTACCAGCCTTTTTGTCTGTGTGAAGAAGCAAATAATGTAAAAAGATATATTTTTTTTTTCTTTTACTATAAAACAGCCTTCTCTGGGCCAACACTGAGCATCATTCAGGACAACAGTGCCCAGCATTCTGGGATAGCAAAGTACCAGTCTTCATTTTCAAGAGGAAGCATCTCAGAAACACCACTTTACTATGGCAGAGCCACCCTTCCCACGAGACAGCCCTTCTGCTACCACAGGCTCAGGACAACACAGCTTTGTGGCCAACAAGCTGGTCCACCAGATTGCCCATTGTGGCTCTATGGCTACTAGACTGGCACCTGAACCACCGTTTTCCCACCTCTGCTTCCAGTTGCCTAAATCAGTTCCTGTATAAAACTAAACAAAACAAAACACTTCTTGCTTTTGTCAGAAGATACCAGTGTGGAAGCGGTCTCCTCACCTCTGAAGACCAGGAGTCTCACTCTGCTTCGAATTACAGGTTCAGAAAATTTCATGCTTAAAAAAATTAGTCTTCTCTTTTTCAAAATAAAGCACCTTGCATTACAGAAGACGACAGTCACTGCTCAAGAGCAGGCCACAACTCCATGGTTTTGGACTTGGGTTTCTTAACAGAAATTCAGAAGGAAGCCATGAGAACAGGCAAACCTGGCAGTGGAAAAAAAATGGGTTAAGAAGAAAGATGGGATGGAAATAGTAGGGAGTGCCCCAAGACAGGGTAGGAATGGAGGGAAGTGGCAGAGCTGTGTGGAGCTCAGTGCTGGGGTAGCAGGAGAGTTCAGGGCAGGAGTGAGAGAGCATGGAGCACACACAGCACCCAGCATCTCAAACCTGTCATCCAGCCACAGCAGAACCAATGGAGGCTCCAGGTACAAAGCCAGAGGCAGCAAACTACAGAACACCTGCCTGTGGTAGGCTTCATTCTAGCTTCTGTTTCCACAAGAAAAATAGACATGATAAGGTTATTCATTTGAATGGCTCAAGACGATAAAACAGCCTGGTTAAAAAAGAATTTAGCAAGACTGCAGTCCTCTGGAAGGATGCATGGGAACACCAAGACCGGCTTGCAAAACTGAGTATAAGCCAGCTCAAGTGAAGAAAGGGGGACTTCTGAGCAATTTAAACTAGGCTGGTGGATCAAATTTCTGTTGCAAACTACTTTGAAAAGTACCCGACATCTTGCATTTAGCATTTTTCTGTAATGTCTCAGCTTCTAGAGTAACACTTTAATTCTGTATAGCCTGGTTCAATAAAAAAAACCCCACTTTTAGAATTTTAGACAGAGATGTGGTGACAAAGTTTAATAACAGAAAGAAAAGTGGTATAAGCCTCACAACAAAAGACATAGTGGGGAGGGCGTAAAGGGGATTAAGAGGTAAGAGCTGAAGAAGCATAGAGTACTGGAGAACTGCTCCAGATGGTAAGCTGGTTTTAACCTAAGAAGCAACGTGTTTGTGTAATTCCAGTGGGAGCTGAGCAGATAGAGATGAGCACGCAGGTATGAAGTATTTTTGCAAATTCAAGGAATGCAAAAATGGACTTTGAAGGTCTGATGCAGAGTCACGAAAATTTCTGCTTGGGAAGGAGATAAAAGCAAAGAAAGATGTTGCATCTAAGGAGGTGAGGGGTAAGAGAGATCTAATGACTGATCACAGAGGACATGAGTAATGATATCAGAAAAAAGCCATTCCATAACTAATCACAACATATAGCATATGAAAAAAATACTTCCAAGGTGTCAAAGTAATGCAACATTGGGTCAAATAGCCAGTTTGATATAGATCTGTTGTGTTCAAAGTGATTTATTCCAGAAATAGTTAAGGCAACTTTCTGGTAGGGTTTTTGAACAGAAAAGAAAAAAACCAATTAAAAATCACAAGTGAACTTTGATCAGCTGCTCTTCAGTGACCAGTTCTACTTTCTGTTTAAGTAAGACTCCCACAAGTTCAGTTATCGTAGCATTTCAGTCTATTACTGATAAAAGCTCACTGTTGTGTGAGTGCTTCAACACTGTAAAAAAAAAAAAAAAAGCTCCCTGTTGTGTGAGTGGTTCAACACTGTACCCAATCTCCCATTAACTCTTGCTCTTAAAGGTTATTTTAGTAAGTGGGTCAAGATAAACAGAGAAGCTGCTAGTAAGACTCCTAATTTGAACAATGAGATCTTTACACCAGGAGCAGCTATCCGAGCTAGACTCTTAACGCTTCTTTTTCCAAAATAAATCCAGGGGTGGTGTTTTTATTTATTTATGAGGCGTACTGCATATTTCTGGATCACAACCATGAATTATTTTGTTCATGTTGCCAAGCTTTGGAATCATCAGGAAAGCAGTGACCTTTGATTTCAAACTAAGCAAACCATTTCATATTTGGCTATATCCATACACTTCAATTAGCCGGTGATTTCCTCAACAATGCTCTTTGCTCAAGAATGCCAAGCTGCCAGATGACTTAAGTTATCCTCCCTCTCTTGTACGTGACTATACTTTGCTCAAAGTAGCTTTCACGCTTTTAGCTTGCTTGCTGAGGCATTGTTACAAATCCTCATGCCCCTTGGCTGATGGGAGGAAAATCAATTTTGATCCTTCAGAAGCAAGTGCAAGTCTCCAACTTCACCTATCAATGTGAACAACTGCAGCTGAAGCTGAATCCAGATTAATTCACCATTTCAGTCATTTCATATTTACGCAGATAACTTAGATTAGAACACATGGGATTTATTGCTTTTAATTGGAGAAATGGGACAGAACTTCCTTCAAATGAAAAAGCAGTTTGTCAAATGAAGTTTACAAAAGGCAAATTGTGGTCATGATGAGAATGTACTTCAAGTTTAAATTAACCTGCCACTTAATGCAAAATGAGGTATTACAACAGAATGCAAAAATCCTGCCACTGCAGGATTTTAATGCTACAGTAATTCTGCTCTTCCTTAAAGGGCAACAATTCTGCCCTTTCTTAGATAACCCAGTTCAAAACACGTATTAGAAGAGCAAGCTTGAGGAATCAGCAGCCAAACTACAGTAACCAGGTGGTAATAAAGACATAGAAAGCATGTACATTTTCTCAATAGGCACAAATTTAACACTGAAAATATTCCAAGCAGGTATGCGAAAGAGGAAGGGGAGGGGGGAACTTACTGTAGTGCTTCAGAGATGCACTGTGCACATACTGCAGCAGCACAGGGCACACTAACAAATGAAGGCAACCGAAAAGGCAGTACTCACCCAAAATATTAAATTGAAAAGGAACATCATGTATTTCAAACAACACAGGCAGCCTCTTGCCATGTTGCACTTCTTAAATTCTAAAAGGAAAACAAAGGATAGATCCAGGTAAAAGACCACGTATTTGCTGCCTTTGGGTGCACTGTATTTGTCACTTTTTACGCCAGTCCCAATGCCGGTCCCAGTTCCGACCCCACTGTGGCTCTGTGTGCGTGATCCAGTTGTACCATAGAAAGCTCCAGCAGTAAAACCTCGACCAAATTGCCTCCCTGAGGTAGAAGGTTTAGCAAAATCTGAGTCTTTGCTATCCAAAGATGGACTCCGGTGAATTGAAGAATCCTCACTACTTGACTTCTCCATGATCTCTCTTTTCACAGTTGTCAGATTTAATGTATAGCATCTCTCAGCATTAAACGCAGTGCCTTGCAAATGCCACAGTGCAGTAAGAGCTGTCTGTGTTTTGCTTCTCTTTTTCTTCGCACATAAATCAGATAATCACTGCAGAATTTATTAACTGCATTGTTGCTGGTTTTATTTTTTATAGCAATGTGGGCTGTACTCTGTCTATCTGTAGCATGGATTTATACGTTAATACCCCATGCAATATCCTACTCATGATTTATCTTGATGAATCAGTTATGCAGAACTTCAATTTTTATTCCAAAGAGCCGTAAGCTCTTTCCCTCCGCTCCCTAGTCTACAGCCCTGTAATCTACAGGCAGCAGATGGTCCTTGCATCCATTTCCAAAAAGCTTCTGCAGTACACCTGGGAGACTCTCCTCCAGCCAGAGCCCTTCCCTGGCTCCCAGCCTTCCACTCCGCGTCTCTGACTCGCTCTCACACGCTGCCTCTTTTCTTTCCCCTTTGCAGCATCTCATTCAGTCTCCAGCTACCGGAGCGCGCTCCGTCTTTCGCTGCTGTTGCCGTGAAATCATCAGCAACTGCAACCACTGGGCATTTCCCACAGAAATCCCTGACCTAACTATGGAGCAATAAATCCACCCTCCCGCTTGTCCCTCCCCTCCGCTTTCCATCGGGCCAGTGAGCGGGAGCCTTCTCCCGCAGGGCACGCCTCCGTGACATAATATCTGTAATAGGATTAGCATTACTCCTGACTATACAAGTGCTCAACAGAAAAATCTCTTTAAATGTCAAGTACTGCTTAGCTGTTTATGAGCTAGAACTGCGAGGGAGCGGTACGCCTTTAATGCAATAAAATACTGGAAAAGTATGGATTAGACAGACCGGTGCTAACCTCTCTCCCTGCTCATTAAATTAAGAGTGACTTACTTTTTTTTTTTGGCTTAAACAAATGCCATAGGACAAGGAACTGGAATAGAGGAGCACCCAGCATACACTGAATAGGCATGTCTCAGTTATATATGCACATACCGTGACGCCATCACCTGCGATATAATTAACCATAACCAGAGTTGCTGTCTCTTACAGAACCATCAATCAATTCTATAAAACTCTTGAAATATAAGGACATCTGAACCTGCAGCTACTTACATTCTATTTAACCAGTATGTCAGAGATTCTTCTTGTGTATGGCAATAGGCCACCTTAATCACAGGTAGTCTGTGAACTGGAAATACCGACCCAAATGCTACATTTCTTTTCCAGACAGTAGCACAACATTCCTGCTAGGACTCCGAAGCAGAGAGGGCATAACTGTGTGTGTGTGTAAGAGCCCGGAGGGGAGGAAGAAAAATATTTCGGATCACGCCCGGTGCTTCCAAATCCGTCATTTTGTCATAAGCATAAAAGCAGCAGACTGATGGTGCAAAGTGATACAGCGGATTTAAAACATGGGTTATACTTTTCTTTTCAATAAAGAAAGAAACCGTATTAGGAGGCCACTATGAAAGTCATAGAGCTACTAGGAAAAGCAAAAATTATGCGCAATTTTCAACTGACGCTTTAACATGCACATTATAATGCACTGTTATTATTTTATCAGGTACCTTTGAGGAAGGATAATATAACGTTTATTCAATCTCAGATATCTATTCCCAAAAGCCCCTTAAAATTCTGTCATTTTTATGTAACAACATCAGAATCCACAGCCTAAAGCAATGCTGTACCTTTCCTGACAGGCCTTTTCTGAGCAAATATCCTTCCACCATAAAATACTTCATGCCATGAAATACCCAGTATTTGCATGTGTAATACTTTTCTCTCACCTCTTCTGCTCTAGAAGAACATTTTAACAACAGGCAGGCCCAAGCCTATATTAACAGTGTTTATTCGTTTTGCTTTTCAAAAGTCATTTGGGAGTGCACATGTTGCACCCATTCGTTTGCCATAAAATTTATGCTGCCATAGACCAGGTTCGGCAAAGGAAAAAAGTGCTGTGTACTTTGTGAAAACTAATGCAATATAAACCTTTGTCTTAGCTTCTCACATGAAGTCACACGACAGTAATAATGAATCAGCCCTCCTCAAGGTTAAAAAACTGGAAGAATATTTTGTAATAAACAAAAAAATCTCCACAAATCCAGTCAGAGTTTGTAAATAGTGGAAACATTACTGGGTACAAAAAAAAAAAAAAAAAGCAATATAACTCTCCCTTCAAGCTTATTTTTTTCGAGTTTTCATTATTTGACCTTATTGAAGTTTTCCAGTTTTCTATTTTTACCGCCAAATACTACAAAAGATTACGTTTTCTTTACCATTACCTGCGATGAATCTTCCATTAAGAGTTCTCCACAACTGATCTACATCACAGTTTATACTTCAGAACAAGCAGTTCAATACTTTTATTGATGATCTAGATGAGGGGATTGAGTGCACAGTCAGTTCACAGACGACACCGAACTAGGTGGGAGCGTTGATCTGCTTGAGGGTCGGAAGGCTCAACAGAGGGATCTGGACAGGTTGGATTGATGGGCCAAGGCCAATGGGATGAGGTTCAATAAGGCCAAGTGCCGGGTCCTGCATTTTGGTCACAACAACCCCAGGCAACGCTACAGGCTCAGGGAAGAGTGGCTGGAAAGCTGCCCAGCAGAAAAGGACGTGGAACATGCCCATTGAACATGACCCAGCAGTGTGCCCAGGTGGCCAAGAAGGCCAACAGCATCCTGGCTTGTATCAGGAATAGTGTGGCCAGCAGGAGTAGGGCAGTGATGGTGCCTCTGTACTGGGCACTGGTGAGGCCTCACCTTGAGTACTGTGTTCAGTTCTGGGCCCCTCACTACAGGAAGGACATTGAGCTGCTGGATCATGTCCAGAGGAGAGCCACCAAGCTGGTGAGGGGTCTGGAGAACAAGTCATACGAGAAGGGGCTGAGGGAACTGGGCACTTTTAGTTTGGAGACGAGGAGGCTGAGGGGGGACCTCATTGCCCTCTGAAAGGAGGCTGTAGAGAGGTGGGGGTTGGCCTCTTCTCCCAGGGGAATAACCACAGGACCAGAGGAAATGGTCTGAAGTTGGGGCAGGGGAGGTTTAGATTAGATATTAGGAAGCATTACTTTACTGAGAGAGTGGTCAGGCACTGGAACAGCCTGCCCAGGGAGGTGGTGGAGTCCCCATCCCTGGAGGTATTTAAGAAAGATTTAGACATGGCACTTTAGGGCATGCTCTAGTGCCCGAGATTGTTGGTTTTTATTTGTCTGTGGGTGGGTGTGGGGGGTGTGTGTGTGTTGGTTTGGTTTGGTTTGTTTTCTTTGTTTGGTTTGGTTTTTTTTGGTTGGACTTGGTGATCTCAAAGGTCCTTCCAAACATGTGATTCTGTGATTTTGTACAGCCAACAGCCAGCTTCAAAATCCAAGCCTGAGCAACCAGCACTATGGCAAACACAGTTCCAGATCAGCCTTCCCTTTCCCACAGGAGGAAACACAGGGCCCTCTCACAGTCGTGCTGGTGCCACCAGGGAGACTTTTACAAGCTTCAATAACCTTCCACCACCAGAATTTGACACCACAGAGCAGCTTTATGGATTAGATGCCTCTTCCTCCTGCTCGAACTCTAACAGTATTTATGCAGCTCAGTTCATACGTCCCACAGAACTGCTTATTTGTGGAAAAAATAAGAAACAAGAAAGCAGTCACTAGTTCATCCAGTTGTTTTGACTAAGCCATTGCACTTAACTCTGCTCCCGACTGAGACTTCAGTGACGGGTGATGCTGTGAGGCCATTCCGTGACACCCGACAGTGATCCCACCTGACCCTGCAACAAACAGGCTTTGCTTCACTACAGATCTCACCTCCGTTAAGCAATTAGGGCATGGAAAACATTCAAAAGCTTCACTCTGTACTTCATTAATCTTTGATTACTGAATCACAGAATTTTGTTGCCGAGAGATGTCTCCACATTAAGAAAAGCATTTCAGTCCCACACACGGATGTCTGGGACAGGGCAACGAACATCAGTCCATCACATCTAAATGGCTCAGACAAGTATTAAGGGTAAGAATTTAGGCCACTTTCAGACACTGTGTTTGAAAACAGATGTCACAATGGTTGTAAACAGAAAAATGGAAAGGAAGGGTATAAGTAATAAGGCCCAAACAACATAGGCTGGTTCTCCTACTGAAACTGATTTACTTGGTTCCCTCCTCAGAATGCTCAACCATAGTCCTCAAAGTACAGCCCCCAACAACTTCAGTTTTTATTGGAACTACAGTATTTTTTCTCAGTCCATAGTTTTATCTCACCAGAACTTCAGTGCCAATTACACCCAGCTGCAGACAGAGTGTACCCTCAGCAAGTTTGCTGATGACACAAAACTGGGAGGGGTGGCTGACACCCCAGCAGACTGTGCCACCATAGAGTGAGACCTGGCCAGGCTGGAGAGCTGGGCAGAGAGGAACCTGATGAACTTCAACAAGGGCAAGTGTAGGGTAATGCACCTGGGGAGGAATAACCCCCTGCACCAGGACAGGTTGGGGGCTGACCTGCTGGAGAGCAGCTCTGAGGAGAAAGAGTCCTGGTGGACAACAGGATGACCATGAGCCAAAAACGTGCCTTTGTGGCTAAGAAGGCCAATGGCATCCTGGGGTGCTTTAAAAACAGTATGGCCAACAGATCGAGGGGGGTCATCCTCCCCCTCTACTCTGCCCTGGCGAGGCCCCATCTGGAGCACTGTGTCCAGTTCTGGGCTCCCCAGCTCAAGAAACACAAGAAGAACTACTGGAGAAAGTCCAGTGGAGGGCTATACAAGAAGAACTACTGGAGAAAGTCCAGCGGAGGGCTACAAAGTTGATCTAGGGACTGGAGCATCTTTGTTATGAAGAAAGGCTGAGGGACTTGGGTCTTTTTAGTCCGGAGAAGAGAAGACTGAGAGGGCATCTCATCAATCCTTATAAATATATAAAGGGCGTATGTCATGAGGATGGGGCCAGACTCCTGTCAGTGATGCCCAGAGACAGGACAAGAGGCAACAGGCACAAACCGGAACACAGGAAATTCCACTTCAACATGAGGAAAAACTTCTTTACTGCAAGCATCATAGAGCACTGGAACAGACTGCCCAGAGAGGCTGTGGAGTCTCCTTCTCTGGAGATATTAAAAACCTGCCTGAATGCATTCCTGTCCAACCTACTCTAGCTGAACCTGCTTTGGCAGGGGGGATGGACTAGATGATCTCCAAAAGTTCCTTCCAACCCCTACAATTCTGTGATTCTGTATCATCACGATTTTGAACATGGGGAACTCGAGAACCAACACATTTGCTGGCAGAGGAGCAAACTGAATCTGTGCTTCACATGGCCTCAGCCAATACACTAACCATTGCAGCATTCTCAAATTAATTCTTTTTAGAAATCATGAGTTTTAGTAACCCTGCCACATGACTTCAGAATAATACTCATCCCTGCAGAGAGACACACAAATGCATATACTATCAAGTGTTTGAGGGATACGGTCTAAAGTTTATTCTTTTCTTTTGAATGATATGGCCAAGAACTCAATTATACAAGCCTTCCTCAAGGTACACTAGGTAGACAAAG